TAAGAGCACTTTCTCTCTATGATTTCTCCCTTTGCGCTGGCTCACTCTTCACTGCAAACAGAACATAAACGCTGAGGATTCAGCTTTCCCCGCTCCACCTGCACGGTGACCATGACATTCATCATCTGAATGAGGGCATCTGCGAGAGTGTATGGGGCACTATCGATAATTACCTTGGGACCACAGGTGTGAACCAGGACTGTCCTGAGCAGGCCAGGATGTGTGGTCACATCACCACTCCATCCAGTCCTCCAGAAAGACCACTTTTGCAGACGTTCAGAAGATAATGAATTGTGTCGCCCCCTCAAGAGTGGGCTTTGAGGAATCCCTCCCTTTTAGGGAAGTGGGCGTCGCTCTTGCCCTGCTCTCGCGTGGCTCGTACTAGTGTGACTATAGAACTGCCCCATTTGCCTGACAGACACAGCAGGAACAAGTGACCCAACAACTAGATACTACTTTCTTACAAAAAAGACAACTCTGTTTGGGACATGCGGTGCTTTTTCTTCACAAGGTAGAGTGGATCATTCACGAAGTCAGATATCCTGAAGAGGTACCAGTAGGCTCCCTGGTTGACCACTCTCTGTTTCTTGAAAACACAGACAACGGATACACACATATGCACCGTTTTAGCTTCTCATCAACAAAAAAGCTGAAAACTAGAAGTATAGGAGAAATTAACTTCTTCGATTGAAAGGGAGATCACAAATGCCAGGCAGCCATGATATTCCACACTGTTGTGCTGTCATCGGAGACTTCTACAGATCCAGGGGTGAAAGCAAATGAATAGGATCTCCTGGGTTGGAGCCAGATTATAGAGTCAAGGTCTGTCTAGAGACCCCTGTCTTTGGAGGAGTTCAAGGGCACAGAAATTTAACCTGTATTCAATCACATTGACCTGAACTGCTCCAGTGGGCTGACTTATCTCTTCTGATGCCATGTTAAAAATATAAAGACCCACCTATGGGATAATAGATCACAGCAGTAACTATGTGTGGAATATAAAGAACATCTCCACTTTTGTTTTCTGTCACTCACACTGTGTCATCTCAGGAAGGGAGGCAGCCACTCAAATTCAGGTTTCTTTTTTCCTGGTTTTTCCCCTAACTCAAGTCTTGCTCTGACTACACACACACTAAAGAAGAAGGAGAGAAGGAGAGGGAGAAGCAGAAGGAGAAGCAGAAGGTGGAGGAGGAGGAGGAGGAGGGGAGGAAGACGAGCAATAAAATTGCATAATGTCCCCTAAACACTATGAGGTTTGGGAGAAAGTTTTCCTTAGTGACTAAAACCAGAAGAGTACAGAACTGTTAGTGCTTTTTATTTCCATTCTTCCTGAAAAACCAGTGATGTTTTCAATGTCCCGTTTCCCTCACTGATTGAGAAGCGGCATCAAGTCCTGCATTTGCATATGGGACGTGCTGCATTCCCCATCTTGTGTTGAGCTCTAGGTCTCAGCACCATGGGATACTATTTGGACGTGAAAAGCTGCCTTCCCCCAAATACAGAGGAATGCAACATAATTAGAGCACACAGTAAACAAATAGTCCAGTGAAAACATTAAGTTTACTATTTGGCCAGGGAAATGTCTGAAGTAATTTCTAAGGAAAAGAACATAAGCTATTTATTACTGATGAGCAACGGTTTAGTAAATTGAAAAAGAAAAATGTCTAAAGGCTAAAATGAAATTCAAGTTGAATACAGATCAACGAGATAGCATTTTTCCTTTAAAAGTATGACTATTTCTTTCAATAACTATTGTTTTAGTGTGTCTCCACACCATATTCTAAAATGATATAAAGGAAAATATGCCAAGCACTCGATGACCTTACAAAGAAAGGGAATGAGATAAACATCACTCACATGTGATGCGCCCGGAACAATGCCACCTACAACCTTACCTTCTATGATTCTCATAAACATTCAGTGACTGCAAATTTGCACAGCCTTTACAACGGTCTGACACACAGTAGTAAGCACTATCTAATTATTTATTAAGTCATTATCAACGCATACAGTATGTCTCATAAGTAGAAGCAAACATAAAAATTGTAGATAGGTAACAAATGGTTAATACTATCCAGGACATTTTCAGAAAGAAGGGGGCGTATATGGAAGGAAAAACTGAGAACAGAACTTATTAAAGTTATTAAGGCAAAATGAAACACCATCAACCCAGGCACAGATCTGAGGTGAATTCATAAACCAGTGAGTAGACACAGGTGCCAACAGTATTGGATGGAAGATTGGGCTTTCAAGTGAGTTAGGCAGTAATGGGACCCAGCAAATGCTTTTGTAGTATTTGTTAATGTTACAATGTTTGGTGATATTTCAAAGGAGAAAATTCCTTTTTGAAGTCATGAATCAGTCTTCCTGGAGAGTCAAATGTGTGACTATGCCATGGTCACAAAGAACTACCCTGCACAGCTTTAGCAGTGGTTACTATGGCTGCTGTGCTATTTTTATAACATACATTCCTTACAAGGTAAGAACGACTTGACATTCATGTAGCTTTTCACATGCAGGCTGGCAAGCTTAGTCTTAAAGCTGTGATTGATCACGGACTTGGCAATGCGTTTAGCCGACAGTTATTTAGAACCGTCTCCTTCCTCCTTTCCACGTCAAGTTTATGGAGAAATACCTGGTGGCGAATAAAGGGTCAACTCTGTTTTCTTCTCTTAGAGCTGAAGTTCTTTCTCTACGTTCTGTCTCCAGCTCAGACTTTCTCTGCTGGTAGATTGAGAGCGGACTTAGCACATCCATCCTTGTAGCCCCAGCGCCCCACACAGAGCACCGTGTAGTAACTCCTTGTGAACTGCGGTTTAGATGAGCTTCATGGAGTTGGATTGGGTTGGGTCAAATGGGATCAGATCAAAATGAATGAGAAGTAAACTACGCCCCCCCCCTTTTTTATTTTTAAAACAATTTTTGTTTGGGTATAAAGTGAAAAGTACATAGGATGATATACATTACTATCCCAAGTGACCCCTCCCTGTCATCAGTTTTTTGCAAACTGCTGTGAATGTAGACTACTGTACAGAGCCTGAGTCCAATCAACTAGATTTGATGAGGAAATTAAAGGTGGTATTTCATCATGGTGGGACAGTAAATTATAACGAATAAGTTCCATCAAGCTGCATTACTTAAAATAATACTAACTGAAAGTGAAAGTTTTAGATAAACCCTGTTTAAAAATAGCTCAGCACATGTACATTGTTAAAACCTTTTTGTATCACAGATTTAGAGACACAGAAAGCCTTCTCATAGAAGACATATGAGACTTTCAGTTGCAATTAGTTTATATTATGACGTAGAAAAAACCTTAGCTGATCATAGATCAAACTGATGTAACATCTGGATGAGTACATTTATATATTTGCATCATAGAGAAAGATCCTGGAAGTGTAAATAATATGCCACATTTAGTCGTTAAGTAACTATTTCTACCAATTAGCAAAGTATGACTAAAAGGGCAGTCTTAAGACAAAGGAATGTGTTGCAGACTCCTGATTTGTTAACCAATGCTGTTTAAATCCACACACTTTGAACAAATAAAAGCTCTAATAGTTTCTCGGAAATGAACAGCGGCCCATAGGTGTGGCCCTAAAATAATTAAAAAGTAATACAGAAGTAAGGTAGAAAAATAAGAGCTTTTATTTTGTATTTTTCTAGTCCCCTTAATATCTCACACAATGATTGGGAAAATCTCCTCACTGAAAATCCTACTTGGCCTAACATATCTGAAAATAAAGTATAATCATGTTACTTGTATCTGAAGACATTTCCTGAGAGAGTCAGATGTGCAATCTAACATAGTGTGTCTAGACTCAGCATGAATATGCTCTTAGGTGTCCCTTATTGATCAAAGTTGTTCCTTGCAAGCTAGCTGATACTCGGAGAAAGGTCTGTGTTCTCTATCTAGATTGATTTTCCTTCTGCTTTTTCCTGCCTATCTTGTTGCCTGTTGTGGTGCATGGAGCTAAGGAGTGTCCTCTGAAGCAGTCGCAATAAGTCATGAGTGGGGAAAATATTTTATTCTGCACGTACAAGACCTTGGAGACTATGACAACTCGGGGATTGTTTTTTCAGACATAAAATACAATAACCCATGCATAAAAGGGTCCACACAGAATAATGTCAAGCTCAGAACCAGGCACAGCTACTCTGTGGTACTGTCGGGACAGTGGGTGTCTGCCCCGCTAGTCAGGCTGCTGGGATGCTGGGAAATAAATGGTGGTGTTTCTGGACATGGATGCTGGTTACATGCGTGGGCTCGTTCTGCGGATATTCATTAGCTATTCATTTATCCTTTGGGTGCATGCTATACCTCAACAAAAAGTCCAAAATAAAAATAAATATAACAATAGAAATGAAAAGCATTCAGCCCTGGCTGGTGTGGCTAAGTGGATTGAGCGCCAGCCCAATGAACCAAGAGGTTGCCAGTTCGATTCCTAGTCAGGGCACATACCTGGGTTGTGGGCCAGGTCCCTAGTTGGGGGCATGTGAGAGGCAACTGATCGATGTATTTCTCACATATTGATGTCTCTCTTTCTCTCTCTTTCTCCCTCCCTTACCTTCTTTCTAAAAATAAATAAAATTTTAGGAAGGAGGGAAGGGAGGGAGGGTAGGAGGGAGGGAGGGAAGGAAAGAAAAGAGAGAAAGAGAAAGGAAGGAAGGAAGGAAGGAAGGAAGGAAGGAAGGAAGGAAGGGGGAAAAAAGGGGGAAAAAAGAAAAGAAAGAGAAAAGCATTCAGATTTCCTTGTTCTAATTCTAGCAATATGTTCTAAAAGGGCAGGTGTTCGTCACAGATCACAACACTTGTGTTGTCACAAATCATAAGACCATGGACCAGCAGAACCAGAATTTTGCATCTTCTGCTGCCATGTCTTGTGATTTTTCCCCCCCAGTCACAAGCTGGGCTGACCTGTGAGGCCCATGACACGGCCTGCTGGCCGGAAGCCTGCTCACCATTCTCTATGAACTAACTCTGTTTGCTATGTTCACAGGCGAGTTGTGTGAGGAGAAGCTGGACTTTTGTGCCCAGGACCTGAACCCTTGCCAGCACAACTCCAAGTGCATCCTGACGCCCAAGGGATACAAGTAAGTCAGGGGCTGCCTTGCCACTCACGTTTAGGGGGACTTTCCTTTCAGGACCCACCTCCACCCCTTCACTGGGCTTAAAGGGAGCTATTCTCTGGGATCAATGGCATTTGTCTAAATGGCCATAGACAGCATGGGCTTTTTTTTTCAGTTCACTAAAAAAATAAGAGAGAGCGCTTCCTCTTTTCCTTGACTCCCTAGGAAGGTGTGTATGAAGTAAAATAGCCTTTGACTGGATGAGCACATTTTATTTGAAGGCCAAATAAGTGTGGAATATCTGGTAGGTGCTTTATTATCTGAATGTAAATCTGATAAAATATGGAGTTTAATGAAACGGAAAGTTTTCCATCTGCAGCCATACTTGAGCTGGACAGGGTGAGGAAGACAGAGGGGGCAAGTATACCAGGTTGCCAGGGACGGTCCCAGTGTACGCCTGTCGTCTCAGTGTAACTGTTAATAGTGCCCCTTCCCCTTCCCTGTGTCCCTGTGGGAAGAGAAAGCATATAGTCTCTTTAGGCAGAGGGCTCCTCCGAGTGAACTCAGAACTTCCCAATCGCTTTTATGCCTTCCTCAGCAATCTTGCTGAAATATGTTTGCTATCAAAATTAAGTTACACCTTTGCCGCAATCCTGAAATATTTTAAGGGTCTATCAACAGCCACTTCTCTTCTTAGACACAGCAGTAGTTTAGAGATTGTCCTGTTCGAATTCTCCCTTTTGAGCATGAGGAAACCACAGCCCGGATCAGCCAGTGGCTGTCCCGAGACCTCGGGGCTACTCACGGGCAGAGCTGGAGGTCAGACAGTGACCTCCCAGCCCAGTGGTTTTTCTAGCACAGGTCACCTCTAAGTCTGGTCATTTATTAACCTTGCCGTTGGTTTATTTTGGAAGGTAAGCTGGATTCTCAAGGGTGACACAGTGGGGTGCAGGAGTTGAGCTGTGATTTCAGACAACTAGACAAGAACATCATTTGTTCCTTTACACAGTATTTATTGAGCACCTGTCATGGGTCAGGGCACAGGGCCACCTGCCATCTTGTGCTTTTATGCTGCGTCATAGCTATTCGCTTTCACTGGCTTTATTTTCTCGGTGAAGTGACTCAGGCCTAATTGCCATAGGATTCAGAGAATCAAAAATGACTCAGGTCAGGCAGAGTTTTATGAGAAGAGATGGGATTTGCGCTGGGACTCTAACATTCTGAACTTTGTCAACAGACCATCATTCACTCTCTGTTGGATGGGAGGTCAGGGTCAGTACTACCAGGGTCCCCTACTGCCTTTAAAGGTCAATCTGAATAAAACATTTATTCTCAAGTGTTATTTAGTTTTTTGATACAGCTTTGTTTAAAATTCATCATTTAAGAAAATACACTGTTGCAGTACCTGTCAATTCCATTTGATGACAGTCCTATGTAAAAACCAAAGTCTTATTGAAATCACTATTTTTTACAAAATTCTGTTTTGCATTTTTGTTCATCTAAATACTGTGCATACATTACTTAAACTCCCAACATCTTGAGTGTGCTCACAATTGAACTTGGTAAGTTGGAAGTCCGTCACATACATAACAGATATCATTTCTCGGATAAATTTGTTAGTAAAGAAGGTGGCTTTCCACAACTGCGTATCTGCTATACAGGTTCCACAGGACTTCATGCAATGTAATTATAAGATGAAGTTTTAGTAAGACTTAATGGAAGTCATTACAAAATGAGGAAGTTCATCTTCAAAAAAACAAATCTTTAATTCAATGCCTTCCATTATTATCAATTAGATTGCACACTTTTTTTTCAGTTACAGTTGACATTCAGTATTATTTTATATTAGTTTTATGTGGACAGCATAGTGGTTTGAAATTTATACAATTTATGAAGGGACCCTGGTAAGTCTAGCACACACCTGGCATCATACATAATGAATGCAATACTATTGACTGTACCTCTTATGCTGCACTTCACATCCCCATGACTGTTGGTAACTACCAATTTGTACTTCTTCATCCCTTCACCTTTTCCCCTCAGTCCCTGAAACCCCCACCCCTCTGGCATCCATCAGTTTGTTCTCTGTACCGTTGAGTCTGTTTCTGTTTTGGTTGTTCATTTATTTTGTTCTTTAGATTCCACATACAAGTGAAATCGTGTGGTATTTGTGTTTCTCTGTCGGACTTATTTCACTTAGCGTCCATCTAGATCCATCCACGTCATCACAAATGGCAAGATTTCATTCTCTTCATGGCTGAGTGATATTCTTTTGTGTATATATGCGCTACATCTTCCTTATCCACTCACCTATCAATGGGCACTCAGGCTGCCTCCATATCTTGGCTATTGTAAATAATACAGCAACAAACACAAGGGCACATATATCTTTTTGAATTAGTGTTTTGGATTTCTTTGGATAAATACCCAGAAGTGGAATTCCTGAGTCATAAGGTAGTTCTGTCCCTGGCTGGTGTGGCTCAGTGGCATGAGCACTGGCCCGCACACCAAAGGGTCACCAGTTCAATTCCCCGTCTAGGGCACATGCCTGGGTTTCAAGCCAGGCCCCCTGTGGGAAGTATGTAAGTGGCAACTACACATTGATGTTTCTCTCTCTCTCTCTTTCTCCCTCCCTTCCCCTCTTCCCCTCTCTAAAAATAAATAAATAAAATCTTTAAAAAAATAAGGTAGTTCTGTTTTTTAACCATTTGAGGTGGTACACTCTTAAGAGTGCAGCTTACAGGATGATGGGTTAGCTGCATCTGGGAACCTGGAGTTTTCAGCAGGAATGTGGGAGCTTGTTTACAGCTGGATGTAGCTTAGCAAAGACACAGGTGACGTCACAGTGTGTGCCGTCACTCCCACATACACAGATCCGCACAGTGTGGGGGAGGCAGTTCTAAGAAAACTGGACTTAAAAAACAAAACTAGATGAATGCTGCTAAAGAAAAAAATTTCTACTGACAAACATTGTTTGGACAAGTGGTACTGCTCCGTCAACTTCATTTTCTTATTACTAAGCTAAGGGAGCTGGTTTTACTTCTCCAGCTTATTATATACCTCATAAATCTCCTAAATTGCTTTGAGATATTTTTAGACCATGATATGCCATAAGCAGTATTTTCAAGCATGCATCTTACTTAGTCAGCTTTTGGGCTTCCAAACCGTGTATTTTATAGTCTTTGCTTCCCTCCTTACTCCTTGACAGATAATGGAGTTGAGGGAATGTGATAGCTTTTATCGATAATACAGACTTGAAGGAATTTCTAATTAGATGTTTTCTTCCTGTTCTCAAACGAGGTCTGAGGAGCAAAAGAAAGACAAAGAAAAAGTTGGGTCCTAATGTAACTCTAAGTTCTAGTGGGCTTGAAAAATGATATTTGTAGAGAAGAGAATATAAAATAGCTCTTAGACAGCCACTATGGCGAATGTATGGTTCCCTTATCTTTTACTTTGATTTCTTTTCTCAGATAAATAATTCAGAATGTTTCAAAGCACTTCTTCTTCCTCTTAATGCTCAGCACTTTAGCCCTGCTCGCATTAACATGGGTGGAAGCGCTCCTCTTGGTGCTCTTCCATCTGTTTGAGAACGTCTGTGGCCACTTAGGATCCATTTAACTTCAGACCTGTTTACGTTGCGTTGTTATGATTTAGCACTAAAACTGCTGGCTCTGGGGCAAGCGTGCTTATGCAGTGAGCTCATTTTATTTCTTAATTCATACATGCAGAACTGCAGGTCTCTGCGTTACTCCATTTATTTTAACTCATCAGTTCTCCGGCAACTCTTAAATCCCGATTTTGCGTTTTGCAGACAAAATCCCTGGCATTCAGTAATGTCCACATCCACATTGGTGTTTGTTTTAATTTTTCTTTAAAGATTTATTTATTTATTTTTTAGAGAGGGAAGGGAGGGAGAAAGAGAGAGAAAAAAACATCAATGTGCGGTTGCTGGGGGCCATGGCCTGCAACCCAGGCATGTAACCTGGCTGGGAATCGAACCTGCAATGCTTTGGTTCGCAGCCCGTGCTCAATCCACTGAGCTACGCCAGCCAGGGCCACATTGCTGTTTTCAGTTATCCTCATTCACTGAAACCCTGATGGCTTTGAAATAGAAAAGTGGGTAATTGCTACACCCTAACCATAAAGACTTTGATAGACTTATAAAGACTTAGTAGAAGTATTTATAAAACACCTACCATTTATTAATCATGCTTTATATTTCAAACACTATCTAATTACCTTATAGGTTGTGTTTTTAATTAATCATTTAACAAACCTATGAGATGGAAGTTATTTTATTTTTTATATGTTACATATGAACACTGAGATGAAGTAACGTAGTCAAGACAACATACGCTTACAGATGAGGCCAGTGTACAAACCCAGTTCTGCCTAACAGCGAAGCCCAAATTCTGTAAAGCTAACCCATAGTTCCCTGGTTTATTCGTTCTTTTAAGTCAGCGAACCCAAAACAGAAATGCTCGTGGGAGCCCAATGCATAAAACTAGTAAGTTGCAACCAGAGAAGGTTGGAGGCAGAGGGAGGGTGGAAGGAAGCTACCAGAAGCACCCCACCCCTGCCATGGCCATATGGTTAGGGTTCTGTGGTCCCTGCAGCTCCACAAAGCATAGTTCGAAAACCACCATACTTGCCACACTGCTTTCCCTCAGGCAGCGTGGAAGTCCTGGGTGCTTGGTGTGACGGCCAGAGATTCCAGTAGTCAGCACGAGCAAGCGACAGGTTCTGCAGAGAGCCCTGCAGAATTATCCGACAGCACGTGCCGCAGTCCAGGCTCCCTCGTCAGGCTATTTGGGGTCAGTTTCTGGCAGCGGCACTTACAAGTTGTGCGTCCTTGGGTAAGGTAGTTAGGCAGTGTGTCCTTTAGTTTCCTCACCTGCAGGGCGGAGTAGAGATAGCACCAGTGTCACGGGCTGGGGAGAGCATTCAGCGAGTCCACGGAAGCCAAGTGGTTAGGACAGGGTCTGGCCCAGAGGAAGTGCTCAGAGCACAGCAATAGCAGCCTGTCATCCCTGGTTCTTCACCCTCAGCGCAGCTGAGACCCTTCTGCCCCCACAGCCCCAGAGGAACAGGCTGAGAAGCTGTCCCAGAGTCCGGCCCCCAGGTTGTGATTCCCATGCCCCACCCCATTAGGTCAGCCCCACTTGGGCATAATGATTATCTGGATTTAGGATGAGTTAGGGCATCCACTATTAACGTAATTTTTCACAAAAAATATATGTTATTCCAATGTATTCATTCTCAATTAGAAAGTTTTTTTAAATGTATAACATTTAAAAAATGAAATGTATAACATTTAAAAATTGCTTAATATTTTTAGTAAATTTGACAACAGAGCAATTTTATCATCTCAACTTCTCAAATCAATGAGAGCTAAAAATAGAAGACCCTGTAGGCAAGTAAAGTGGGGAAAGAAGGGAGGAAGGAAGAGAGAAAAAGAGGAAGGGTGGAGGGAAGAGGGGAGAGAGAGAGAAAGGGAGGAGGAAAGTCAGAAAGCAAATACGATGGACAGAAGGCAGGGACCCTGGTGCAGTGATTGTGTTCCTGTTTGGAGCATGGATCCTCACTGTCATCAGGGAGCTGGAAGCCCCATTCCTCTGCCAGACCACGGTGAGAAGCCCTAGGCTCCTTGCAGACCAGCACTGTTTGCTAGGCTTCCTTTCATGCGAGGGCTCTGGGTGCCTGTTGACACACGTTTTTCAAGGTGGTGCCATCTTTTCCTAGATGAAGGCAGCTGTTGTTGTCACTCTGGCTCAGTTGGGTTTGAAACCACTTCCCTGCTTGTTCACACAGGTGTGACTGCACACCAGGGTACATCGGCGAGCACTGCGACGTGGATTTCGACGACTGCCAGGACCATAAGTGTAAAAATGGAGCCCATTGCACGGACGCGGTGAATGGCTATACGTGCTCCTGCCCCGACGGTTACAGGTGAAAGGAGGAGTGCGCACCTGCGTGCAGAGTTGGGTCTCACGGGACTCAGTTCACATTTAAGTAAAATCTAACCCACACATTTCTGTTTTTCTTCAGTGGCTTGTTCTGTGAGTTTTCCCCACCCATGGTCCTCCCGCGGACCAGCCCCTGTGATAATTTTGATTGCCAGAACGGGGCCCAGTGCATCATCAGGATGAATGAGCCAATATGCCAGTGTTTGCCCGGCTACCAGGGGGAGAAGTGTGAAAAGCTGGTTAGTGTGAACTTTGTAAACAAAGAGTCCTACCTTCAAATTCCTTCGGCCAAGGTTCGGCCCCAAACGAACATCACGCTTCAGGTAAGATTTCCGCCGCTCGCGAGAGCTGATCTCCTCAGGCCAACGTCAGGTTCAAAGCACACGCATCCGCGGTGCTTTGTGAGTGACATGACTGCCTACACAGGCAGGTGCAGACAGCAGGACACGGTGACAGGCAGTGCTCGCTGAGTGTGAGCTTCCGTCCTCTCTCCAGCATTTGTATGTTTCCCAGCTAGATGGGAAGCAGGTAGTTTTATTCATTACTTGTTTGAAAAAAACACACAGCAAGAAAATCTATCTCCTTGTTCTGTGCCTGGGAGAAGGCTTCTTGGTCATTTATTTTTATGACTCTGCCATTCAGAATCTGTACAGGGAGGCTTTTCTTAGAGAACGGGCAGCCGAGGGGAGAGCGGGTGGGACAGAGCGTGCTATGGCAGAATATCGGCGGGCGTCTGTTCACTGTTCATGCAAAACCTTTGAGGACAGGCACGAAATGAACAAACTCAGACTTATTGCTAGTCTCTCCACCGAGTCACCGGGCAGCTTTGAGCCAGGGATTCAGATCCCCACAGACAAGGTTAGACCAGATGAGAGGTCATCCGCCCATGTAGGTGACGTGGGGCGGGTTGGGGCTGAGTGTTGGTTTATCTGGTAAGCAAAATATTGTTCATGTTTTGAACTCAGATGGTTTTAGCCTATTTCCTGTAGACCCCTCAACGTATTTGGTTCACCCTGGCACTCCACTGAGGGGTGGGGGTTCTGTAGAAGTCATGAGGAAGGGGACCTTGCAAACAAGACAGTTTTACTTTATTAAAAAAAAATCTTCCTGCCTTCCAACCTTTGCCACATTGGATTGTCATGAGAAGTACCTAGCACTGACTTTTACAGAACAAATTGTTTAAAAGCCAAAAAAAAAGCCAAAAAGCAGGATGAAGCAGAGAGTTCCCTTTTTTCATGCCATCACTGTAAAGAATTTTCTTGTTTGTATGAACTGCGGAAAGCAGTCCTGCTCAGTGCAGTCACGTTTCCCGTGTGCCATAAATCAGACCCTTTACAGAAGCAAAATGAGCAGGAGGGTGAAAAGCTCCAGAAAAGAAAGTTCAAGCCCATCCAGCGGTGCTTACTGAAGTATTTGTTATTGTTCTTTTTCAACAGAACAGAAACAGGACCACTTTATTCCTGCTTAGATTTTATCATTCTCTGCTGAGAAAATACAGTTTGAAATCTAAGGGGGGGAAAGCTTGAATTACTTTAAATACTGTGCCACTGTAATGATGTGGAAAATATTTTTCAACTTTAATTTCCTGAAGGATAAATTATGCATATAAATTCCTTGTTTTTGCATATTTTATGGGACATGCGTCTTTAAGCTTTGTCATTGCTGGCATGTATAGAAAGAATAAAAATATGCTTATGAATGTAGAAAAGGAGCACCTTTTAAAGATCTTTAGGAATTTATTTGCAACAAAGTAATTTAGACTAAGTTACTTTGCAAGTAATAATTTCAAGGTGCATTAGTATTGTCTCACAGCCATGAGGAAAAAATACACTGCAGTAAAACCCTTTCCCAAGCAGTCTTGTTTCTTTTGGTGAAGCGTGTTTGGGTGACTGCATGCCGCTGATGTAGGGGTCCTTCCTCCTAGATTGCTACAGATGAAGACAGTGGGATCCTCCTGTATAAGGGGGACAAAGACCACATTGCGGTGGAACTCTACCGGGGGCGTGTCCGTGCCAGCTACGACACCGGCTCTCACCCGGCTTCTGCCATTTACAGGTGAAGATCTCTCAGTTACTGGTAAAGGTGAAAACAATTGTTTACTGGAGAACTGCTTCTCCATCATTTCGGAATGGGTAGGGGAGGGAATAAACGGGCGGGCTCTGTTACCAGGGTGTGGGGGGCCTGGCAGGAACAGATGGTGTCCTAGAGTCAGATAACTGACTGCAGGCGAGATTTCTACCGGGACTACGGGTCTCCCCATGACCCGAAAGTGGAGGAGCCTCACAAAACCTTTCGCAAACTGACACGGAGTAAAGCAGAACCAGTCACCTTGGGACACACCTGCTGAAGGGTGTACCAAATGCAAGGAGAGAGAACACAGGTGCTCACAGACACAGTTCCGCGTTAGGATGGGTGCACGCTGAGATGCTGGGTGTGGTTCCCACGGGAGGAACTTGCGGTCCCACTCTCACCGCTCCGGGGACACACACTGCATCTGCACAGGCTCCCTGAAGCAAAAACACTGTTTTCACTTTCTAAAAGCAAAGCAGAAGAGTCTTATATTCACATTCCTTTGGCCAGGCTCCTTTCTTTTTGTTAGGGAAGACAGGTACTAATGCAGTATCTTCTGCAAAGTGGCCATAAAGTGAATTCAAAAAGCAGGGATGCCTGTATTCACAAAGCTTGGTAGGGATAGCGTATTAACGTGGGGCTAGAAACCAGGGATGCTGCCACCACCCATATGGTGGAGGGAGCTGTGGAGCGAGCAGAAGGAGGCAGCAGGTGTGGAAATCCAGAGAAACCGTGGAGAGGGCTGCAGGGCAGGGGCTGTAACCCTCAGTGCAGTCAGCTCTCAGGGAAGGACCCTTCCTCTCAACAGTCCCCCTGCCCAGTGCTTCCCTTTGGTCAAGTCAGATGCCCGAACACAAAGAACCCACTGCTCCCTGTAACGTAAGTCACACGGAAGCCTCCCAGGGCTCCGAGCAGGGTAAAGACCCATGCAGAGTGGCTTTTGAGAAACAACTGCAGGAGAAACTCAGCACAGTGAATAATTCAAAGTTGTTCTCTATGCAATACATATTTACTGAGCACCTGCTGTGGTCCAGGCCCTGTTCTAAACTTCCAGGAACAAAAACCCTGCCCTCAGAGAGCTTTCATGTGATAAACCAGTGGATGCACACAATATGGGTTGGTAGTGTCAATTCATTTTGGAAGGTTTTTTAAAGAATAATATAATGCTATTGATGGTATGTTGGTGACGTGAAAGGGATGGTATTCACAGGGCATAGATTTTGCTGGAAGTGCACTTTCTTGCATAAGGCTAACCTTCAGGGCCCCTCTGGTGGGTCTCCACACTGGCTCTATCATCCTGCAGGAAAGGTGCCTAGTCAATGTCTCCCCATGGAGAAACAGAGCAGGGTTATAAAACCTCGTGCAGTCAGTGTTTCATGCATAGTCGGCAACTCGAATCAACTAAAAAGACCAGTGGAAAGAAAAGAATCTGCTCTCATCCCGTGACTTTGGAGGAGATCTGACTTTTCAGAGACCTATCCCTCTATCGCCAATAGCCTTGATGTGGTGATGTCGCAGGAGTGGTCGTGCCTGGAGCAAACCCGAAGCACACCTCTGTCCAAACAGGGCCGCACGACATCTACTCGGCTCTCCCCGGTGCGGCCTCACAAAAATGTGGGTTTGTGCAACTCCAGATTCTTCAAGCAAAGGCAGAGATTGAACTCTTTTTAGCTATAAAGCTTTATCTCCCTTAAATATTGATTCCCATTATTTAAAAACACCGTTGGTGGGTATCACAGTGCAGCTATAGGCCAAACAAGCTTGGCAGCCAATCTTCGGGCACTGATGACAACTAAGTGGAGACACTGACCTCTATATCACTGATATTATTCTTATATATATGTGTGTATACATATATACACACATAGGTGCATACACACATGCACACATATGTCGGTGTGCTTTAAAAGCCTTCGCGTCCTGTTTGATCCTTCCTGAAAGTTCCAGGAAAGTCGATGCCATTTGCAGCCATGCACGGAATCCTTCTGGTGGTGAGCTAACCCACTTGGGAATATTTACAGCGTGGAAACAAACGCATAATTACTGGTTTCCAGGAGGAATGCAGCCGTTAGTTCCTCCCCACATGGAAACGAGTCAGCGCCAACGCTGTGGAGATTGCGAGGCCCTCTATCACGGACCCTCGGTCTGCTGCAGCCTGTAAAAAGATGTCAGAAAATGGATTTTGTGGTTCATTTTTGGTTTTGACTGTTTTTGTTTCATTTTATGCCGTGCAATAGCCAAAAACTTTCAGAAACCATAATCAAAGTTCTTGAGGTTGGCTTATTAAATCTGGAATTCACAAAAAATATATACTTAAAGTATTTCTCGAAAAATTGTAGAAACCCAAATAATTATATCCAAAGGATGACTTACTCTAAAGAGCTTATTTTGAATTTATCTTCATTACCATGTTTACCCAACAAACAATAATGTGTACGCTGTGGCTCTTATGTAGAAGCAGAATAGCACACGGCACACTTTTCGGTGTGAACCAGAGGTCCAGGGAAGGCACAGCTGTTAATTCTTGCTCTTTGGTTTGCAGCACAGCCATGAAGAAAAGCTATTATATTTTTTAAGGAAAAGAAAAGGAACAACAACTACTTGGAATTTGAATAAAGATGATAGTTTGATTAATTGGTTGATCAATATGAATTATATGTGTATATATAATATGAATATATTAATACTCCAATTTGGAATAGAAAAATACTTTCGTGTAATTGAAACCATGGAGAACAATGAAATTATTTCAATACACTAGGAGGATATAGTATTTGACAAGTAAGAATCATAGTGGTTAAGATATGCATTCAGATCTAGGCTTGGCCAATTGCTAATGTGTAAACCCAGGCAAGGTACTTAATTTCCTGTGCCTTGGAGTCATTTGTGGAAACAGTGATGTGGCCCCTGCCCCATGAGGTCTCTCTGGGGCAGGGAGATATCAGATTGTAAACTCCGCTGCGTCCTCACTCACTCACATTGTCTTCATTCTTACCTACCCGCTAACAATACGGGAAGGTTTTCCTGGTATCTTTTTCTGTGGAGTGTTGTAGAGCAGTTGAAAGTGTACCCTCAGTCCTTACACATTAAGAGTAGAAGTACAGAAATAGAAGACAGGCTGACAGTGACCAGAGGGGAGAGAAGAGGGAATTTCAGGGGAGAATGGGAAGGGTTTACAGGAACAAACTTAAAGGACACATGGACAAAAACCAGGGGGAGGGTGGTAATGGGAGGGCTGTGGGGAGGGATGGGTTGGCGGGCTGGAATGGGAGTAAAAGGGAGAAAACTGTACTTGAACAATGATTAAAATAAAAATTTAAAAAAAAAGAGTAGAAGTACAGGTTGTTTTACACTTTCTGCAGAGAGCATTTTGAAAGTATCTATCAAAATTACAAAAGCACTAGTCCTCTCACCTATGAAACCCCACTTCGGGAAGTTGATCCTGCAGAGGTAGCTAAAGACACAGAAACAACCTGTGTGCCAGGTAATTCTCTGTGGCACTGGTTGTGAAAACAAAGGTTGGGAAACAACCCAAATTTCAGTCTAAACAAACTATGCATGGTGCAGCCACAAAAATGGAATGCACCGTTAAAAAGAAAAGGGATGAAGGAAGGGAAAAAATGAGGAGTTTCCCTGTATATTACATTGAAAGATTCCCAAGGTATCTTGCTCAAGCAAAAAAATAAATAAATAAAGCAAGGCAGAACAGTGTCAAACGTTGATACATTTTTGTATTTTTATCTCCTTGTATTTGCACAGGCAAACGAGGGATAGAGAGGAAAGAGTGGGATGGAGCAAGACTTGTATGAGAATACCATGTTACACCGTTTCCATTTTCGAACCACGTGAACGTTAGTGTCACTCAAATTGCAAATCAAAGTGATGAAAAGAACAGGTGCCCTAGAGCAGTCTGCCTTCACTCGAGACCCAGCTCTGCCACCTGTTAACTATGTGCCTTCAGCAAATGGCATAAGGTCTCTGGGCCTCGCCTGGTCAGTGGTTATAATTGATCCTAGTTTCGTCTTTGGGGGACTGTAGCGGGAATTTTATGGTTTGACACGGGTAAAATATGTAGAGCAATGCATACCAAATAGTAAAAAGGATGCCTGTTGGGATTATCACTGCAGAATGTCTGAAACTGAGTGCCTTTCCTTTGCTCCACCCCAACCTGTGCCCCTGTCTCATCCCTGACTTCACTGAGAGGCATCGCCAGGTCCTCCTCGGGCATCGGGAGTGGAGCAGAGTTCCTCCCAGTCTTTCTCTGTCCTTCATCGTCAACTTGGAATTTGTCTCACGTCTTAACTCTGCTCCTACTAACTTTCTGACAGTTATCCAAACGCTTCCGACCTTGGTCAGGCTTTGCTAGGATGTGACCTGTGATGAAAGGTATCCCTTCCCCAGCATTATAGCAGAACCCATCAATAACACTGTTGCTTAAGACCCATTTTGTCGGGTTGAATTAAATTTTCAAATCTGAATATGCTTCTACTTGACTTAACATTAGAAAAGTCACTATATGAATGTTTTCAAAGGAGGTATTTTTTATTTATTCTTACCTCAGAGAATATGTTCAGTTTAAGTTCAGTTTAATGGCATGATTTTATATTATGAAAGATAGCTTCGGTCAACGTTTTTCCCAAATTATGGATTATGTGATGTGGTGTTGGAGCATCGCGTACAGGAATCACTTGGTACCACAGGTGCATCTTTTCAGGTGTGTAGTCTCTTTGCGACATTGATGGAAATGGAGTTTACTTTAGTAAAATAAAATCTGACTAAATTAGGGGAAAATTGTCACACATTAAGCTATTGTTTCTATAGGACATTTTATTTGCTTTAAAAAGTTTCATTTCAGATGCCAGTTACTGTCTCAAATGAATCTGTACGAGAACCATTATCTCCTCAAGTTATGTCTAGAGGGAGTAGTTCATGGAGCCTCAGTGTGTTTAAGAAAATTCAAGATGTAGTAATTATTCCTCTCCCAG